AATTGCAATATGCTACTAATATAAGAATGGGTAATTGTTCACTGAGGAAAAAGTGACAATTGCTTTAGGACTATACTTCTTGTCTCTATTGCTAATATATAGACTGAGATTTTAACTTTCACCACTTGAACTGATGTGTTAAAGTACCACTTCCTTTTCATTTCATTTTTTAAGTTACCAATAGACAAATTAGATTCTTTAAATCTATGTTGTTGAAATTAGGTGTTCATGTTAAATATGTTTTTCTTACTGGTTGCTCATTTCGGCAGGAAAAAGAAGAGACTGCATTTGGGACTTCAGATCATGCTATTTCGAGCAAGCCTTTCACCATGGAAAAAGGTTCTAACAGAGTTCAGGTGCCGAATGCCAAATCAAAGAAAAATAAGAAGAAAAAGAAGAAGAAAATTGGAGAAGACCGTTCTCATATCCCGTCTGATTTTACGTTAGAAACATTATCTTTGGAAGCTAGTTCTTCTGGTTATCCTCCTAATAGTGCTAATAAGCTAAATCAGTCAAGCACAGATAACGACAAAGTGCTGAAGAAGCAGAACAACAGCTCCGTGTTACAAGTTGACCCCAAGTTCCTCAGTGCAGAAAACGAGCTACGGCGTATATTCGGCAATTCAGTCGTAAAAACACATGAAAGAAGTAACGTGTCTGCAAACTCTAGGCAGGTACGCGGTGGTCGACATATTATGAAAAGAACTATCCTTGTTTCTCCATCTCATCACTGGCCACGTTGGGATGGATCTTTAAGCATGGAACTTGTGGAGACTAAAGAGGGTGTCCACTATTTCAAGTGAGTCTATTTCCTTTCTTTCTAATTTCTGATTTAATTCCTTTTCGTAGAGTTTTTTTTTTCCTGCTATGAAACACGAACACTAAGGCTAAGGCAGTGCTTCTTTATAAAAAACTGTTTTTTTCTGGTGTTTTGTGTTAACTAGAGTTTATTTGGAAAAAAGATAGTATAGTTAGTGGTTAGTGGGATTTCAAGAATGTATTAAAATATTATTTAAAATAAAATGATTAAAATTGATTTGATGTAAATGTAGGAGATAAATGATTGGAAATGGAACTGATAGGTAATTAAAATTATGTGAGTGGATGAATAGTGAAGTAAAGTTGATGTAATGTGTGAGAATGATTGAATGATATTATTTAATTATATTGATAATATTGAGGATAGTGTGGTCGAATTAAAGTTGAGTTTGATTTTGCATTGAGATATTTTTTTTTCTAGTTTTTTTTTAATAAACAAGCAAAGCCTAAAATATTTCATTAATTCCTTTGCTTTCCGTCTTTCTTTTTTTAATGTGGACATAGATACGTACAGTCATCATCATACGCCCAAGCCCAACGAGTTTTCGAAGCTGCCCGGGCATCTCACGATCTCAACTCCATCGGAAGCATTCTGTTGAATCACCCATACCACATCGACTCCCTGTTGACACTTGCCGATTACTTCAAATTCATGGGCGAACACCAATTATCAGCCGATTCCCTCGGGAAATGTCTGTACGCCTTAGAATGCGCGTGGCACCCACTCTTCACCCCATCCAAGAACTGCCAGTTAAAATACTCACAAGAGACGAACAAGCCCCTCTTCACGTCTCTTATCACCCACATGAAAAACATGGACAGGCGTGGCTGCCACAGGTCAGCCCTCGAGATTTGCAAGCTCTTGCTTTCTCTTGACTCGGATGATCCCTTGGGGGCCATGCTTTGTATCGACTACTACTCGTTAAGGGCCGAAGAATACGCTTGGCTTGAACTATTTACGGATGAATATAATTCCGATAATTCCCTCTGGCTATTTCCTAATTTTTCGTTTTCTCTGGCGGCTTGCCGATTTTACCTCGAACGAGACGAGCAGTCAGACTCAGACTCTAACAAGAAGGGTATTATGGGAAAGGCCAATTCGTACGAGCTCATGAAACAGGCTTTAATGCTTCATCCCTCAGTGTTGAAGAAACTGGCGGCGAAAGTGCCTTTGAAGGATCGAAAATGGACAGCTCTGATCGAGCACAAATTTTTCAGGTCAGAGAAAACGGGAAGCCCATCTTTAGACCACTTGATTGCGATATATGTTGAGAGGAGTTACTTGTTGTGGAGGCTTCCTGATATGCAGAAGCTTTTGTACGACTCGGCGGTTTCGGTCATGGAGATGGTGGAAAAGCAAGCGGACTGTGTCAAGGATTGGGCTTGCGTGAGGAAAGAGGCTTTTTCGTCGGGAAAAAATGAGTACGTTATGGAAAAGCACACTCATGTCAAATGGTTGAAGTTTAACACCAAAATGTTTGAGAATAATTTGCACTAATTTATCATCTCCTCTTATTTGTAGGTACTCCCATTTGTTGGTGTCGGATTTTTCGGATTCAGTGCCGACAATGCCTCCGGATAACTTGCAGGACTTTATTGTCGGCCCAAGAGGTGGAGTTGAGCAACGTGAGCAGGTTCAGGATAACCATGTGGTTCGTGATGTGTCGAACAGAAATGTGCTTGCTGTTCTGTTGGAATCTGTGTTGCCATGGGTCAATTATGGATCTGGAGATGATGGCCGCCATGTTCAGCCTCAACAGCCTGAGCAAGAGAATGAGGATTAGGTGCTGAGCCGAACATGAATGTGCTTGCTTGCTTGATTTATCGGTCGAGCCTTTTTTTTTTTCCCTTTTAGAAGAATAAATGAAGATTCTATACTTTTTTGTGTTAGATAATTCAAAGTGTTGAAGATTTGAGTTAGATTTCTGTGACTGAAAACTGCTAAAAGTGCATTGTGAGGGTTTTATGGAGAGAGGTTATTCAATTTTTTGTTTTTCCTCTCTAATTAACAGGTTAAAAGCATACTTTATGGATGATTATGTTACAGAGAAAGTTCGTTCACCTGGCAAGTGAAAATGGCAGTTGTCAGGGTGTGTTTTGTTTATATATATATATATATATATATTTTTTTTTTGTTTCAATCAATACTTATTCCATCTTTAAGATGTAACTCAATTTTAATTTAATTTAACTATTTTTTTTATTAATATAATTAAATAATATCAATTATTTTTACACATTAGTATAGCTTTTAGTTTGTAGATTGTAGGCTACCTTGGATTATACTTCTATATAAGATGATTGATTGGTTTTTATTCTGTAAGTATATTTTTATTAATTTAGTCTTTCATTTTAGAAAAAAAAAATATAATAAAAAAGAAAAGGATTCGAGTTTGGACGTTGACTCGATCGGCTTGAGCTTGTTTCCATCACGTCGGAATCGATATGGTTGAACGCCGACAAATTGCACTCCGCGTGATTTGCGGTTCAAATCATCGTGTTTACCAGGTCTCATCTCAACCCGACCCGACCCATTAAACTGAGTCATCGTGTTTACCAGGTCTCATCCATTCACATCTCCGATCCACCAACCTCCACCTGCAACCCTGCCAATCGCTCACCATCTTCAATTTTTTTTCCACATTTTCACTTTTTTTTTATGCTCAATCGAGCTCGATATTTATTCTCCAAAAAGCTTGTTTTTGCAGCTTTGTTGTCGGCAAACTATATAGATGGAAGGTGAAGGCAAAACCTACACCGTCGATGAAGCCCTCATCGCCCTGGGTTTTGGGAATTTCCAGGTCTCCGTCCTTCTCTACGCCGGCATGGGTGGGGTTTCGGAAGCCATGGAAATGATGCTTCTCTCCTTCGTTGGCCCCGCCGTGCAGTCCGCGTGGGGCCTCTCGCCTCACCAGGAGGGCCTGATAACGAGCGTCGTTTTCGCCGGCATGTTGGTCGGAGCCTACTCGTGGGGCATCGTTTCGGATACATACGGAAGGAGGTAGACACTATCGCTTTGTTTTCCGTACATGTTTATGTTCAATTTGACTTATGGGCTGTGTGTGTGTGTGTGTGTGTGTGTGTAAGATATTCTGATTGTCCATCCATCATTTATGTTACATTGAAGAATGGATTCTTTAGCTACTGCCTCTCCACCTAAAGGATTTAGTGTAGCTTTTGTTCATATAATGGCTTGCTCTCATTGGTTCATATATTGCACCTTGTGATGTATTTGTTTGTGGCTCTTTAATTTGTTGTGTTTTTCTTCTGTATGATCTGCAATCAAATAAATTCGAGGGTCTGAAGAGGAAGGCGGAAGCGTAGTACATCAGTTGGGGATCAAGTAACCTGGTCCCACCTTTGTGGACGAGAGAAATTATCTTTATAAGTTTAATTCTATCGTATGTTTTAATGCTTCGAGTTAGGAAGGAATCTTTATAAGTTTAATTCTATCGTAAGTTTGTGGACATTGTTTGAAAGAAGGAATCTGAAACAATTTATGTCAGGGACCCAAAATATTGATTTTGGTTTTTGTTTTACCAAAGCCTCAATCGAGTACTCTCTAGCCATTAGGCCGGTACATCTTGCATGCTCACATTGCTATGGTGCTCGTGCTGTTGTGAATTTGTTTTATAATTTTATTAGGCTTCTGTTTAGTTCCACTACTAATTTTTATTCAGGAAAGGATTTCTTGTGACAGCATCCATTACGGCTATGGCTGGCGTTCTAAGTGCATTTTCCCCGAATCTTGCTTTGCTGATCACTCTACGTGGATTGGTTGGTCTTGGATTAGGAGGAGGTCCTGTGCTTTCCTCCTGGTTTCTTGAATTTATTCCTGCTCCCGATAGAGGCACTTGGATGGTCGTTTTTTCAGCTTTCTGGACTCTTGGGACAATTCTTGAAGCTTCTATTGCTTGGGTATGCTTTATATATATCAGTTCTTTTCTTATTGCTTAGGTCAAATTCTGGATATCTGCAAGTTGGTCACTTTTCTTGTATTGATAACTTTCATTTCCTGTTTGATGGGCAATTGGTGTATAATATTTATGATTATTAATGCTGTGAAAAGTTTCTCCCTACTTTAAGACGGTTAAGTTTGCTAGTGTTTTTAAATTTGCTGTCTATTCTGTCTGTGGGTCTTGATTCAGGATTCTACTAGCATTGTACAGCAATTATTATTGTGTTTTCAAAATTACCTCAATAGTTGAAAATTCGAGCAGCATGCTTTGCTTTGCTGTGTTCATATTTGTTATCTCTTAGTTTAATCAAGTGAATGTCACCATCTTCAAATTCTAGCTTATAGATTTTTCCCCCCCATTTCTCTGATTATTTGAACTTTATCCATGAAAATATACGGAGTTCTCTTGAAATCTAGTCTAAGCCCCCCGTCTGGAAATTCTGATCACCTTATCCATAACCTAAGCTTGAAAGCTGTATCCTTGTCTAATTGTTCATAGTTAAATCTTGCTAATCTGTCTCTAATTCTAGAACTCTATAAACTTTAAAATTTAATCTATGACACGGGATATTTGCAGCTGAAAGATCAGTTTGTTGTCTCCATATCCATTGAGTTTGTTCATTCGTACCATTTTTTTCTTTCCCATTGCAGTTTGTGATGCCCAATTTAGGTTGGAGATGGTTGCTTGCAATTTCTGCTCTTCCCTCCTCACTATTGCTTTTATTCTATAGAATGACTCCCGAGTCACCCAGATACTTATGCACCAAGGGAAGAAAAGACGAAGCACTAGCCATACTGGAGAAAATAGCACGAGTAAACGGTAAAAACCTTCCTCCGGGAATCCTAGTTTCTGAAAACAGCATCGAGCTAGAAGAAAAGTCGGATCTTTCAGAAGATGCAAAGCTGATTTCTTCAAGTGAAAACGGCAGCACAAGTCCTAATAAACGCACAGATTATTCCCCGAAAAACGGAATCTCATTGCTCGCGATGCTTCTCTCACCTGAACTGATTAGATCGACATTACTTTTGTGGATGGTCTTTTTTGGTAATGCGTTTGCTTATTACGGATTGGTTTTACTGACCACGGAGTTGAACAGCAATCACAGCACGTGCACTCATAAAGGCTCACCGTCCGGTAATGTACATCAAGAAGTTAGCTACAAAGACGTGTTCATTACCAGCTTTGCAGGTAAAAATTATAGATTTGTTCTACTTTCTTTTCTTCTCCTTGCAGAATTTGGATGACTCTGACTGATTATTTATTTATTTGGTTCAAGAGTTTCCCGGGCTCGTCTTATCGGCTGCAACAGTTGACAAACTTGGCCGTAAAAAGTCGATGGCTGGAATGTTCTTCCTCTGTTTCATTATTCTGCTCCCACTAACATTTCACCAGCCTCAGAGCTTGACGACAGGCCTGCTCTTCGGGGCCCGCATTTGTATCACCGGGACCTTCACGATCGTTTATATATATGCTCCCGAGGTAAAAAAACATGAAAGGGAATCATGAGGAATCATGAGGCTTATAGTTGAAAAACTAGCTTATATGACAAAAGTGTTTGGTAAAATTAGCTAAGCTAGCTGAAATAGAAATTGCAACGAGTTTATTTGAAAAACTATCCAAAGAAGCTTATGAGATAAGCTAGCTTATAAGTGATTTTCGAGCTTATAGCTTATAGCTTTTGGCTTATAGTTGAAAAACTAGCTTATATGACAAAAGTGTTTGGTAAAATTAGCTGATAAGCTAGCTGAAATAAAAATTTCAACGACCTTATTTGAAAAGTTACCCAAATAAGCTTATAAGATAAGTTCGAGCTTTTTTTAAAAAAGCTCGTTCTACCAAACGAAGTAGGAAGCTTATAAGCTAACCGAATAAGCTATAAGCTAGCTTGTTTGGTTACCAAACATTGGAGTTGCAACTATATAACCTTTGGTTTTTCGATTGCTGATTAAATAAATGCAGATATATCCTACATCCGTGCGGACAACTGGCGTTGGAGTTGCAAGTTCGGTCGGCAGAATTGGAGGAATGGTGTGTCCACTTGTTGCGGTGAGTCTCATCCATGGATGCCATCAGACGGTAGCCATTTTACTATTCGAGATTGTTGTTTTTTTATCCGGATTGTGTGTTTGGCTTTTACCATTCGAAACGAGTGGCGCCGAGTTGAGTAATAGCACGTCTTCTTCCGAGCCTCGGATAAACTTTTGAGGCATTCGGTTTTACCTACTTAAACTTGTGCATTTATCAAAGTGATCATTCATGGAGAACCAGAAAATTGGTCAATACTTACACACTACCACACAATTTATATAGTTTTTTTTTTTTGGAAAAGTTGTACGGTAGACAGACAGAGGAGATTGTGTACCATGTTTTAACTAGTAACTGATGTATACTTTTGAATTCTTCTTACCTGATTTCAGTTTTTAGGATCACATAAAGTTGCTTTTTGCCAGGGTCTAATCATGATGCATTTTCATCCTTTTTTAACAGGTATATTACATATACTTTCAAAGGTATGATATTTTACTGCATAAATATTCAATTTTTTGTTAAAAAACAACAGGTCGATTAGTCTGATAGCAGAATATGTGTAAGATTACCTCAGATGGCTTTATATTAAAATCGGTTTACGGAATACAAAAAGTCTTCAGGCACCAATGTTCAGAATTCGAATTCTGAATGATCATATCATATCAATGATATAAACCAAAATGTTATGTTTTGATGGTAACTAAACACTTAATTGAAACTGGAAAGAAGGTACAAAAGTTCAACAGTCATTCAGTAGAATTTTGATAAATGATAACCATACGTCTGAAAATCTATTGAGGCGTCAAAGATAAATTTAATTTTATTGGGAAAGATTGTAACTATGCACGGGGCTCCTATGTGGAGAGTTGTAAATAACCAAGCTTGAGTTCAGCTCATTCATCAATATTAACAAGCTGATCTCGAGTTTTAACGAGTCGAATTACAGAAAATTATATTAAAATTCTCTTTACGAGCCTTATCAAAATGGTCCGAGTCCGACTCGTTAACGAAACGAGTTTTAAGTGAGCTCGAGCTCGACTCATTTGATAAACGAGTCGAGCCGAGCCAAACTCATGAGCGACTCGTTTCGTTTAACAACTCTACGCCTATGAGATGTATTAAAGGGAGAAGTAAAGAGTATTTCTTGGAATTCTGATACTATATGCACCACAAATAAATTAAAATAATCGACCTAATTAATATATATACAAATCTATATATATATAATTACTAGCTCAAAACATTTAATAAAACCTATTTAATTTTACCTATGTGGCAATTTAACAATTTTCCCTCCAAAAACCGTTACATTTTGATGTATTTAATCTTTCATTTAATCATTAAATAATTAATACTCGTCACTTCAAAATTACAAAAATTGTTTTAAATTTTTTATTAATGACAGTTGACCATATAATGTGTTGACTGTATAATGTGATTAGATGTTATTATTGTTGTTACATTTAATTTTTTTTTTAAATAAAAAATATATTTGAAATTCCTAAATAAATAATAAATAATTTACAAATAAAAGACGTACCAAAATATACATTACATCCAATCAGATAAACGCAATTTAAAAAAAATATTCCAACTCTTTTAATTGTAAATTTGGTCTGCAAAAAAGTGAAAGAAAATTAATTAATCATTATATGCATACAGACTCACAATAATTTATTTATATCTGTGCAAATGCACAGGTCGAATACTAGTTATCTAATACAATGAAAAGATAATTAATATCTATACTAATAATATTTTCTAATAATTTTTGTCTACTTTATGTAAAAAATTGTGCTCTGCTGATATTTTATATTATGAATTGAATAAAAATATAAAGCAACAATTATTTTATAATAAAAATATATAAAAAGTAAAGAAAAAAACAATTGAGATAAATCAATAATTTTTTTTAATAAAAAAAGTAAATAAAAATTTAATCCACATGTTCATTATTTTTTTTTCATTTTATTTATTTTTGGCTTTTTGCGTGTGTTGTGTGGTTGGGGTTTTGAAAACGAGAGCGACGGCGTATAAATTCGCACAGTGGCTGTGGTCGGGAAACAATCGGCCATAGTATCTTATGAGTGGTGGATTGAGATCGATTATGGCGATGGGGCATACTGTAGTGGAATTCTGGAGGGAAACCACAACCATGGCCGGAGATGGGTCGCCATGGCCGTGGACATGGAGCCTCGCCGCCGTACTTCTCGTATTCACCCTCCGTTTGGTCGCTTCTCGCTTCCGCTCCGTCTTTCGCCGGCCGCCGTCTGCTTCAGTTTCCGTCAAACCTAAGGAAGACGATGATGTTCTTCCCTCTCTCCGGTAGCTCTCTCTCTCTCTCTCTCACACACACACACACACACTCACTCTCATCCCTTTTGTCCCCTTTTATTTTAATTATTTATCTATCGTATTTTTGGTTCCGTCAGAGCACCTGGGATTATCTCCGATTTGGATTTGGAGAATCTCATCAACGATCTCGATGAGAATTCGCCGGACGGCGGTGGCGTAGTTTGGGAAAACGTCATCGACAAGAGTAACAATCTTATTTCGTACAAGGCCAAGTGCTGCAAACCTAAGGTATTATTTACTTTGGTCTCTATTTGAAACTTTTAGCTATCTGAATGGCTTTTGCTTCCTTCATTGCCCAGCATATTGCTAGATTCACCTGTGTGGTTTTGCAGGATGGGCCGCTGAAGTACCTGAGCACAACTGTCTTTGAGAATTGCTCGGTCGAGGCATTGTTGAATTTTTACATGGACAATAGTTACAGGGTGCAGTGGGATAAGACTGTGGTTCATTATCAGCAGTTGCAGATGGATAGTGGCTCCGGCACTGAATTTGGCCGCACGATTAAAAAGTTTCTGTTCTTAAAGCCCAGAGATTACGTACTGGCTTGGAGAATTTGGCAGGGACTCGATGGATCTTTCTACTGCTTTAGTAAGGTGCATGTCAAATCCTCTTGTCTCAGTACACACGTTTTTCTGCCTTCCCTCTCAAATATCATTGCATTCTCACGATTTAGGAATTTGTATGATGATAATCTGAGAATGTTCATTTGGTTGAAAACATGGTTATTTGGTACCTGTGTCATAGAGCTCAGCTTTAGTGAGTGGTGATATCAAATGGGGTTTGAATAATCAGAGTAGAGAAGCACAATTGGATATTGTATAACGAGCTTCGAGCTTCTGTCAACTTATTATAGGTTTATCAAGCTGAAAACTGATATGGGTTTATGAACATGCTGAAGAAAGATAATGATTATGTGGCTTTATATCGCATACAATCTGCCAAGAGTTTGAGTGCATCTGGGTAGTTGTTCGTTAATGTTAGTTTAATATCAAAGGTTCTGACATGCAGTCCTTGGGCTTTTGGAATTTTTGACTACTAGTATATAATTGATTGCATTTCAGGGATGATATTCAATTTGGTCATCATGCTTTAGATAATTCCTATTGTAACATAGCTTTGCTGAATTCGAGTCTTCATATGTTTTCTCTGGTCTTCTATCCAATTCCGAACACTGATCTTTGTATTTGTGGTCTTTAAAGGAATGTGAACATCCTTTGGCTCCACACGAGAAGCGTTACGTAAGAGTAGCAGTTTTCAGATCTGGTTGGAGAATTAGGAAAGGTAGGTTGCCGACTCACCTCTATAATCCATTTATGCCAATTAGCTCATCCAACTGAATGCTGCATGAAACACTTGTAATGATTATTAAATTTTTATTGTCACATGGATACGTGCATCTTCTTTTCCCTCTAAAAGACGTTAAAGCTTTACGATTAGTCTGTCTACTTCAGGTTTTAGTTGCGTAATATGTTTGTGATTCCATTTCACTCTTTCTAATTTAGTATGTTGGCTTACATGGTTGACAACAAAACTATGCAAAAAGAAGTTAATAATTAAAATAAATTGTAGCCATCTAGGGCTTCTTGTAGCAATATTTTCTCAGTTCTTTTCTACAGTTGTGTAACTTCACAGGCATTGCTTTGTTCTAATAACGAGCAATCTATTTTAAATCAATAGCAAAAAAACTGACCAAATATTAATAACGTAAGATAAAATTCTTATACGGCTGTTATTAAGAACATACGAGTTTCGGTTGAACAGATCAGATACAATAAAGTGAACGTGAAGGGATCTTAAGCGAATTATGCAATCTTTTTGTGCGTCAACTTCCTTAAGATGATTTTTGCAGAAGAAATCTTTATTTGGTAAATCTAACCGCACACCGGCACATTGGAACATCAGACCTTGTCTGATATTGTTAGTAGTGGATTGTTGGCTGTTGTATAAGTTAGAAGTCGGTATTTGGAATATTCCTCAAGATTGGGTTCTTATTTTGCAGTTCCTGGTAGAAATGCCTGTGAGATCAAAATGGTGCACCAAGAAGACGCTGGTCTAAATGTGGAAATGGCAAAAGTGGCCTTTGCAAAAGGGATATGGAGTTACGTGCGCAAGATGGATGATGCCCTTCGCAAATACTCTACAGCAAGGCAGCATCAACTAAGTTCAGTCTCCAGTGCCAGCTTGTCTATCCAAAAGGTGAGAGCATTTATGGTCAGCAGTTGTGGCAACTTATTTTTCTTCTGATCAAATGTAGCATTAAAGAAAGTTCAACATCTGTGAGCATAATCCACCTGAACTCCTCATTCGGTTTCCTTTTAAATATTTTCTTTCTATCAGATCTTGAACTTATACAGGACAAGGAACATATCTTTGACACCAATTAGTAGACTAATCAACAAGGAGGATCAAATCTTGTTAAGTGTAAAGCTTGGTCAACTGTAAAAATGGAAACCTTAGTCTTGGCAATATTAACTAATAAGTGGATTTCGACTCACCTCTTGACTTGTGGCTGATATCAAGCTAGAAAGGATGTGTACAACTACATTTGGAATATTGAATCATTTTTTTCTAACAGATGTGCTTGTTGTGAATTTGGAGCTAGATAGTTCTTTCTACTAACTTTCTTATTTTCGCATAGGTCCCACCTCAGTTTGAAGTCATGAACGATAAGACCAAAACGGATAATCCAGAAAACTCAAAAGCCGCTTGCTGGTCCAAAACGAGGAAACTCAAGAGATGGCCTTCGAGTAAGTTGATTGCAAATGGTTTAGTTGTTCTTGGTGGTGCCATCTGTCTCTCAAGAGGACATTCCAGCTTGGGTACTAAGGTTGCCATGGCCTATTTGCTTACCAAACTTACAAAGTACGGTGCTTCATCTGGGAAAGATTTGTGACTTACTACAATGAAGCGTGATAAAAAAAAAAAATAAAAAAATGGAAAAGTTCAACTTGGTTGTAAATATAGATTTTTGTCAATCCTCGTGACTTGGCTAGTTCTACTTCGTGTAGCTCTCCATTTCTGATGTTGGAACTCTATAAAAACATAGTACTCATATTTGATCCTTGTGGATCTTGTAATTTTGCTGGTGATTTCTTAAAATGTTTGATTGATACCTGTTTAACGCCAGTTCAAAGACGATAGATGATATATATTGATGATTGATGAATTCAGGCTGAGGCCCTGTCAGGTTTTCTCTTATGTTAATTGTAGCATTTGGTGTGTTAATGGGAGAATGGGAACTCATCTTTCTTGTAAGCTTGGTTATTTGAATACAATTAACTGACAGAACAATAAATGCTCACTTCAATTTAGCATGTTGAAATTATCATTTGCGGCAAAAAAAATAAAAAAAAATAAAATAAAAATAAAAATCTTTGGCTATAAAATGAAAGATTAAAAATAATGTATCACTGTTACTTTTTCCATCTCTAATATAAACTCTCTAATATTAATGTACTTATATTTCCGTATATGCATCAAACATAAATTAATAATTGTAACGAACTGTGAAAATTTTAGATTGCTACTTGCTACACTTGTTCGACTTTTGTATTTCATTATCGTACCAACTATTTTGAATATACTAGTTTTTTACCCGTGCATTTCCACGGAAAATATGTAGAGGAAAATTTAGATTTTATAGCTCCAATTGTTTAAAAAAAAATAAAGAAAAATTATAATTCATACATTATGCCAGTACGATTACACATTATTGAATACTTCTTTATATACAACGTTCTTCGTCCTCGAGCTGTTTTCATCGTCACAAATGAATATTTCAATCCTTTCCTATTTGTGACTCGTGAAATAGCGACATAGAGTTGGCCATGTGTAAATACGAGATTCTTCAGGTATAAACCAACATGAGAAAGAGACTGTCCCTAACTTTTTTTTATCTGTGTGCTGAGGAGGAGAGCCTTTAAAGAAAACAAGTAAAACTGATGGTCCTCCTCAAACATCGTCCCACGCACACACTCAAATTAAATCATACACCCACAAAAAAAATAAAGGTAATTTTTTTACTCAAAATAGCCATTAACAACTAACAACACATATCCTCTGTTCTTACATGCATCCTTTTCAGTACAGGAAAAAAAAAAACCAAAAAACCACAACCAAATCGCAGCTTACCTCCGATCAATAACGAACAAAAATGCCAACGGGCGCGCAAAATCACCATGCGCGCCCGCGCAAAACATGGATAAATAACATATTTCTCAATCGTAATTCGTCGATTTTCTTCATCACGATTCTCGTTTTGGTAGTTTCGTGCGGTGCACAAGGTGAAAATGAATCCCGGGCCCTCCTCAACTTCAAAGCCTCCCTCCGAATCAAAAACCACCATTTGAACCGACATCTCGCCAGCTGGACACCCTTATCTGGGCCCCCGTGCTCAGGTAACATGCCCAACTGGCCCCACGTCCTCTGCTACAACGGGTTCGTATTCGGGCTGAAGCTCGAGAACATGAACCTCACGGGCCCAATCAATGTGGACCCTCTTGTGCCCCTTCGCTCGTTGAGGACCCTCAGCTTCATGTGGAACGATTTGGAGAGTCCAATGCCTGACTGGAGAAAACTCGGTGCCCTCAAGTCTTTGTACCTGTCAAACAACCGATTTTCGGGCCAGATTTCGGAGGATGCATTTAAGGGCATGTTTTCTTTAAAGAAAATCGACATGGCGAACAACAATTTCACGGGCCCTATGCCGACCTCTCTCGAATCCCCCAAGTTAATAGAGTTGAGGCTCGAGAACAATGGTTTTACGGGTCACATTCCCTTGATCAGCTCCGAACATCTTAAGATAATCGACGTCTCGAACAATCAGTTGGAAGGCCCGATTCCCGCGCCTCTAAGGAACATGACTCCGGCTTCCTTTTCGGGTAACAAGATCATATAGTTAAAATTAACGATGTAGATATGATTTCAGTTTTATGTATTGGTAGCAACATAAATCATGAACTTTTATTTATGTGGGATAACCCTGGTTTGGTTTTATATAGTCAAGTAGTAAATGCAAAGATGAAATATAGCCGTTTTTCTTACAAGTATATGGATAACAGCCATTTTGGCATGTGCAATGACACGATTACCCTTAATCTTAGATTTTTCAATAAAAAATTGTCTATAATAATTTCTGACACCCAGAAAATCGTTTCTAGGATTCCAAAAATCGATTGTAAAAATTCAAGACATCGTTTTCGTGTTCTAGTGAGTGAAAGAGTGTAGATAGGTCATTTCACACACAGGGCAGAAACTACTATTATTCATACTTTAACGACTACATTTCATATTTTCGGAGAAGGCTATTTACTGATATTACCACTGACCAACCAAACCCTAGGCAACAAGGCATTGTGCGGGCCGCCTCTAGACACGCCGTGCCCGCTGCCCGTTGTCGTCAGCAATCCAGACTCCACGAAGCTCCGAACAGCCGTCATCGTCATCTCCATCCTCGCGGCACTTTTCGCCATAGCCACCGTCCTCCTCCTCCTCGTCGCCGCCAACCGCCGCCGCCGCCACGGCCGCCACACCCCCCGTCTAGGCCGCGCCGTCCCTCCCGACCGAGACGTCGAGGCCAGCAGCAACGTCGCCACCCTCGGCGTCTCCAAAAAACAACAAAAACCATCTCCCAACAACAACAACAAGCTCTCGTTCGTCTCGGACGAACGTCGCTCGACTTTCGAGCTCCACGACCTCATGACGGCCTCCGCGGAGGTCCTCGGGAGCGGCAACTTGGGCGCCTCCTACAAGGCCGTCCTCCTCGACTCCCCTTCCCCCCTCGTCGTCAAGCGCTTCAAGCAAATGACCTCCGTCCCTCGCCAAGACTTCTTCGAGCACATGGCTCGACTCGGAAACCTTCGCCACCCGAACCTCCTCCCCCTCGTCGCCTACCTCTACCGTAAGCACGAGAAGCTCCTCGTCTTCGACTACGCCGCCAACGCCAGCCTGGCGGCACACCTCCACAATGGAGGCTCGGCTACGACGCTCCCCTGGCCCACCCGACTGACCATCCTACGAGGCGTTTGCCGAGGACTAGCCTACCTTCACCGAGAGCTCCCGACACTTAATCTACCACACGGACACCTCAAGTCTTCGAATGTATTGCTCGATGCGGGGTTTAATCCGCTGCTTGCCGACTACGCGCTCTCTCCGGTTATAAACTCGGAGCACGTGGAGCGGATTTTGGTGGGGTACAAAGCGCCGGGACAGGTCGGCAGGAAGGCTGACGTGTGGTGTTTGGGGGTGCTGATGCTGGAAGTGGTGACGGGGAAGTGTTTGGATTTGACGGGCGGGTATGTGAATGGGATTGTGGGGGAAGGTGCTGAGGTGGCGTTTGATGAGGAAATGGCGGCTGTTGACGAGGAGGAGATGCGGAAGGTTGTGGAGATTGCCAAGGAGTGTTGCCGGGAGGAAGCGGAGAAGAGGTTGGATATGGAGGAAGTGGTCCGGCGGGTCGACCAGCTTCACAAGGAGTGCTGATTTTATTTGATTTGGTTTGATTGATTTTAGATTAAATTTTTTTTAAGGTGATTAATTGGTGAACGAAATTAAAATTTTGGCTATTATTAATTGTTTTTTTTTATGTGTAGAATGATGAGATTCTTGATTAAATTAGTTGGTTTCTTTTGATTGTGTTGTGTGTGCGCGCGCGTTTTACTTGTGATGGATATGAGTTATAAAGAGAATTTTACTTTTGTTTTTGTTGTTTTTGAATCTCTGAGATTCAAATTCAATGATTTAGAGAGTGATCTGCTGAGTTTTTTGTTGAATTGTTCTGAAGGCTGAAAATGCATTTTATCTTTGTCTAATTCACCAAACAGAAAAACACAGGAAAAGTTTGCAGTTCAACTAGATGATAGATATATCAACAGACATAGAAACTTTGGTTAGTCTATATATATATATATATATATATATATATANCACCATAATTTGTAACTGAAATAGCTCATCATAAACCCAAAATATATATATATATATTGTAAAAATAAAAAAAAATAAAAAAAATCACATTTTCTTAGACCTCCGATTTCCTTCCACCAGCTTGAAAGAGCCTCAAAAGATTTCATGAGGAGACCCAATCTAACATACATCACTCTTAGTGTTTTGAGATGTCGGTGAATTTAATTTAATATTTTTTCGAAAATATTAATATTAACAGTTAAATTCAAAATATTTAATTAATAAAATTATTCCGTGTTCTTTAGTTTATGTATATATGCCTTCCAAACTGTTGTCCGTTATTCTCAAATATAATTTAAATGTTCAAAATTGATTAGAAATAGAACTTAGATAGTATCCTAATTTTACAGTGAAGTACAAGCTATTACAGTCCTTACACGTACTCGTTTTCTTCGAGAAGATGACGGAATAGCAAAACCATACGAAGCAACTATATTAGTTTCGGAACCTCATATAAACCGTTGATTGGATGTCAAAACGCACGAATCTTTGCTCCCGATCAAGCAAAAAGCACCAGTCTGACAAGTTTT